GTTAATGCACATCGGTCACGGCAATAGTTACCATTATACTATTGATGGTAAACTTCTTCCATGCGATCAAGAACATAAAGACTTAGGAGTAATGATAAGTCATGACCTAAAAACAACTACGCATTGCAATGCAGCCGCCGTCAAAGATTTTCGTGCGTTGTGGTCACTTGGCCGAGCGTTCAAATCCCTTGACGAGGAAATGTTTCGAATTTTATATCCCACCTATGTAAGACCACATTTAGAGTACTGTATCCAAGCAGCTAGCCCATGTCTGATAAAGGATACTACCTCACTTGAGCGTGTCCAGCGTTTGGGAACGAAGTTAGTGAAGGGCCTTTCTAAACTCCCTTACGAGGGGCGTTTAAAACCCCTAAACCTTTCCCCCTTGTCGTATCGTAGGACTCGAGGTGACCTTATGCTGGCATTTCGTATCTTTAATTATGATTTGGGTGTTAATATGTCTTATCTTTTTACTCCCTCCAGCAATAATAATCCTCGAGGTCATAGCAAGAAGGTTCATAAACCGCGATCTAATAAACTCAAAGTGGGGTTTCGTTTTTCTCATCGAGTAGTCAATGATTGGAACGCTTTGCCCGAACAAGTGGTATCAGCCCCATCAGTGAATATTTTCAAGGAGAAACTGGACCTTCACTGGAGGGTAACCTGTTAGGATTAACACAGGTTCATTAACCTACTATCCTTATTACTGAAGACTGAAAACGATTTTCACTTCATTATTCTTTGTTTTAGGACAAATTGGTTTGGGTCAATGCAGTTGAATATAAACGGTATTAAATAGGAAGCTACCAAAAAACTCAAACTGTCCAATAACACTAAGACGCAAACCCAAACAAATAATTTAGTTTACACTGTCTTGTTATACAGATATTGGCTATTGGAAGGTCACGAAGGTTTCGTCCTATGTAAAATATTCAAACCTGTCGCTACGACCCTCTGGTTCCCATTGCCGAATCTTGGCCCCAGGCATGTGCTACTTTTGATTGTTGTCGATTGAATTTATTCTTATATGTTGGTGCATTATGTGTGCTTACTGAGTTGTTGGGTCACTTTCCCTTTTAGTTTTCCAGTCCAGATTCTCCCTCATTCCCATAGTACGTACTATGGGAATGAGGGAAGGGTGTAGACAGCAGGTTGGTAGTTGACCTGTCGAAATGTCATGCCACAAACATTCTACTTCACTTGACACCAAGCAATTACACCCTTCATGGGAATCCGCTCCCTTTTGTCTCTCCAGAGTGTGGTCTCGGGGTTGGACCCACAGAGCAGACATCATCTCAACATACATAGGGGATGCAGCCAAGGCAAACACAACTCCAATTTGTGCGAAAACAAACCCCATAGTTATTCCTAACTCCCCTTAAGGCGTGCCTACGGCTCCAGTCTGGGGTCCCCAACGTTGTTGCTCCCCTTTTCTTAAAAAGAGACAAATCTCTTTGACCGAGACACGCGCAACCAAGTGGGTGATAAGATTAAGATATTAAACTTAGGTAGACAAAGCCCAATACTCGGCATTGTTCCCGCTAAGCTATAGGAAAATAAGAGGTAATCTGATGATGTACAATATATTAAGTGCGCCAAGTCGCCCCAACCTGAGCATACTGCCAGAAGATCACGCTCTTCGAGGCAACCCTCAGAAGATTGCACATCAGGTACGCTCCCACTTTTTTCGTTGACAGTTGTCCTCATTTAGAACACTTCCCTAGCCGAAGTGACCACAGCCACTGCAGTGGATAAATTTCAGGAGATACTTGACAAACACGTACCCACCTATGGGTTACCATCTCCCTCTATTTTATGGATGAGCCAATCAAAAGCGTTTTAGAGATCTAGAGGTTACGGCGCCAACTTCAGTGCTTAATGCTAACTTACTATCGGTTCACAAGGAATTTTGTACGAAACGTGATCATTGAGCGGCTATAGCAAATAAAACGGCGAGACTATAATTTTGGACGAACCAATCAGATATAAGACAACAGATCTCGGATTTCGGTGCGAAAGTCTTTCGTCCATTTGGCTAAATAGATTTCTGGCATTATAGCTGGTGTCAGTTTGTGATGAAAATTCCATATATAGTTCCTAACTAAGGCAAGTGATGACAATTATCGCGAACTGGGTAATAAAAGCACCAGTAACACTGGCTGCAGCCAGGTATTGCAGTTTATTCGGATGTTTGGTGATCGTACAGACTCCTACATAGGCTTGGTCATGTGCATCGTGTCGTTATCCACAAGTAGCATTTTGTGTACTCAACAACTGAAGTGCACATAAACAATATTGAAACTATGTGGTCGAGTCTGAAATTTGTTGAGACTTTGTCATGGTTCCAGAAGCCGACTATTCTGTAGTCATATGGATGATCTCCTCTATCACATGCATTACGATTTTGGAACCTCTGAACCTCTTTCTAACCTTGAAAAGTTTTTGAACCATGTAAAAGAAGTGTATACTCTTTATTTCCTTGGTTTTGTATAATATATTTTTACTCTATACTTACTGTCCGCTGATTGGCTAATATTCTCAAGGTCACTTAAAATTCGTTCAAAGGTCGTCCATAAATTAGTCTCGCCTTATTATTTATTCACGAAACAACTACCTTCTCTAGGCACTCGAATCATCATTTTATTATTTTTTACATTGCAACTAACTAACCTCCTGCCTGTTAATGTGATAGTTGCTGGTTGCTAAACAAACGCACTCACCCGAATCACGAAATATACAAGTCCATAAGTAACTACTGACTGCCCCCAAACGCCCTGGTACGGCCGAGAGTGGGGAGAGTCAGCTCTCCCTCTTGAAATGCTCTTAAATGGCCACGCGTATATAGCCTCTGCCAGGGAAGTCCTACTCACTGCCTCCTCGTGGCGGGGGTGTTGTCTACGAAAATGAGAGGACGAAAAGCGAATGTCCGGCGCTTTAACCGGATCCCAAACCGATGGTGCACATGGGCTCCAGTATCCTGACGGAACAAATGGCGTATGAACCAATCGTTGGTCACCGGCTACCATGGGATTGCATCTCCTCACGATGCTCCACTGCCTTGTGGATCAGACGTTCAGGTGGAAGGCTCGAGGTGTGGCCCCCTAAGAAAACCACCTGCTTCGGTTTGGGCACCCGGGCAGTATCACAGCCCTCACACAAATCAATTGAGATTCGTGTGGCGCGTATGTATTTGTTGTTTCCTTGTACCAATATCTATGTGTTAAAATAAATAAATAAAACTGCTGACTAGAATTATTGTGGTCGACTGGCTAAACTATCATCCATTGGACATAGCTAAACACCTTGAACCGTACCGAAATAACAAGAAGCGAGCGCGAAAAATCGACTGGTTTATAGAAGCTCTTGACGAAAACATTGGATTTTAGTTACTAATACCTTAGTTATGAAAATATCTGTGATGAAAAATTTATACAGTTATAATTAATAGACAGTTCTAATACGAATAACAAACGTTTGTACATAACTTATTAGGGTTTCCACCACTAAATGACGTCAATTGTAATGAAATAATGGACTTCACTCCGAAACCTGGTTGGTGTGTCCATATACTTCACTTCTTCCAATAGATGGTTTGTGGCGCATTCGTCGTCGATCATCATTTTTTTAGTAAAACGACTTGGCTATCAGCATTTTAATTTGCATTCATACATTTGGGTCATTTTCATCAATGAAAGGCTGTCGGACAAGGCTTTCCAACGATTGCCTTAGTACAACTGATATTTACTTGAATCACTACCCTCGTACAGAGGTATCAGGAAGTAGTGGGAGTTTTAATATCTCGTAGTCTGTACATATGTTATTCTCGACCAATGTGTAAACACACGGACCAACATTCCGTTCTTTATTTCTTTATGGCTGTTAATTATGGTATATGAAAGTAGAAGACACGAGTAAGCTGGTCTTTGACCATAGAAGTCTTCGAAGCAGTTCTTGCGTATTGTGAAATGATCATATAGAGTTTAGGTACAGGGTGATAGGTAAAGGTGACAAATCGGTTGGTGAGGTTATGAAGCTTCATCGACTAAGGTGGTTGGTGTACGTACAACATATGCTTAACTATCGCGTACCTCGATGGGGAGTGTTAGGTGTTGTAGTAGGCTGATAAAAATATAAAGGGGTCAACCTGAAACATAGCATCAGTCCATGAAGTCATTGACTGCTGATCTGAGCCATGGTGGTAGATGCAGACTACCTGGTTGAGATTTGTGCTATTAGATAACATGGCTCAAAATCGTTCGCAATCGCGCAAATGCATTTGCTTTACATTTATCTAAACCTTTTTCATTCTCTCTTCTCGAACTTCATTCTCAGTACCTAGTCTTTCTGATTGTCATTTGTAGTACATTATTTTGATCTATATCGCTATTCATCCTGTTATGCTAACATGATATGGCAGCTTGAGCCGACATAGATTTATGACCGACTGCGTTGAATACAGATGATGGACTTTTCAACCAAACAGTATCCTGATAAAAACTCAGGTTCCCTTTACTTCCAACTAAATTCTTTCATTTAAGTAATTTAAACTCATTTTGTGATTACGAGTTTAAATATCACAGGTTGTAAGCAGCTAACGAGAGCCAAATTGAGTAAGATTATTCTGCTCAAATCTTCATTATCCTTTTATTCGTATAGTACATCCTATTGATTCCCACTGCCCCGAAATTTGTTTACTGAATGAATTAAAACTATACTAATAAACTAAAATAAAAAAAATAAATTTCTGGTCCAAAAGAATGAAAGAAAATATTATAGTGCACCCAACAAGTAGACACTACTGTTAAAAGTGCTTTGATGTTACACTTTTTAAAGTTGGACAGGCATTCAAACGAACAATTTTGACAATAAGTACGCTATTTATTGATTTTTTTACTGATATTAGTCAATATTTTGTGTCATGTCTGTTAGACTGGGGATTTTTTCCATTTTGTTTCAGCAAACCCCTCAGTCTGTCGGCAAGTTGCTCGTGATAAAACCCTATGTTCGCCTTATCAAGTTCTGAAAAACCCACTGGTTTGTTTGACGGAATATCCAACGATTCTTGTGTAAACTTGTTCCAAGTTCCACTTACTACAAATAGTAATATTCCAGCCCCAGGACTTTTCGGCAACTTAAAAACTGCGGAATTCAGGACCAACATTAAAGAATCAGGGCCTAGTTCCTCATCAGCCCACACAATAGGGAAAAATAGTAATGCCTCAAAAACAGTTTTTCATTCTCCTCGAAGTGCTGATGGTTTTGAAAAAGATCGAAATGATCGTTGTGTAACTGACAACAGTATGAATGGCAATGCGCACAATAGCTGTAAGTTCATCTTTGTTTTTCGTCATCTACCGCACTTCTCTTGTTCAGTTTGTAGTTTCGATTGAGTAGTTTGTTGATACATATCCAGTCTGTTCGCATGTTCACTACTTCCACCGATACTACTCTAGTCTTCATTCTTATAATTTAATCTTATTGTACTAATGCGTTGTAGTAACTTCAAGCAATATGTATATTCATCCTGTTCAAAGATCCATTACCGCTAAAAATTGAGGTAGGGGTATCAAAAGTGCTTAGTGGTTAACATACTCAACAGTCAGTCAGAAGGCTGCAAATTCGAACCCCTCTTCACCTACTTCCATCTAGTCACTAAGTTAGTACTACTACCCCTCACAAAATTCCAATGCATGTATCTTGGGTTTTACGTTGCTTTTGACTGACTGATAAATAAATTACAGTACAGAAATGTATAGGATTTATTGGATCCTGCAGAAGGATTGCCTTTCAATCTCTTCTTATGACCTAGGTCAGAAAAATTATGCAAGCAACTTTCACATTATTGCAGTTTGTCATATAGCACCTAATTTTCGAAAGTAAATCCGTCTGTGTGAAACTATTTAAACTATTTAATCTGATGATGAAGTAGTTGATTGCTTAAATTATTTCAAGCATATCGATGGATGCTCTTTTTCTAATGAAATTGTAAAAAAATTTCAACGTGAATATAAAGTGGTGTCCATTCAAAAGGGCGAGTGGAAAAGGATACACATTAATAAAGCCAACCATCAAAAGGCGAATATTAATAAAAGTGTGCATTGAAAGGGGGAATGACATTTTTAATGGTGTGAAATCTGTTCAATTTTCCATCTGTTCCTCAGCCCTACGACCAATCAAAAAAGTGGTCTTCTAAACGTCTAATAAAGAGTTTACTTTCAACAAACTATATAACTCTTCGAATTCGGCAACCAATCGTTATTCTAATTACGCTGGTCACGTTATCTCGTAAGTCTTTCAAACAGCTAGGGGGGGGGAATCTGTTTAGAGAGATGCCTCGAAAACGCTTGAAAAATGTTTCATAAATTTCACTTTGAGCAAGTTTTAAATTCTAAAAAAACATATTTTTATTTTAAAACTAAAAAGTCATATGCTATTCCACGTAAATAGTCTAGTGTCGACCTGTTTTTATAATCTACGATCAATTCGATATGTACCACTACTTCCTTATATTTCCTTTTTAAGTGTTGTTGATGGGCTCCTACAAGAATGTTCTATTTTCATTCCATTTAATCTCTTCTTTCAAAAAATCGATAAATTTCCATATACTTGAATGAGCAGCGTCAATAAGTTGACTAAAACCCTTATGCTATTCCTCCACCACATTGTTCATTTTAGGAATGTCTTCTACAACAGAGGGTTAGCAGAATACACTTCAAATCACTGAAAATGTTATGATGGTCCCCCTTATTAATTTGCACCCTTTTACTCCCGCTCTTATTAACACGAACCATGCAAAATGTCATATAGATCTTGACTCACTTGAGATACTTTTGAAGTCGATAAGCGTTTCGCTTTTATTTTGATCAGGGCTTTCGTATGTTGGTACTACCATGTTCATGATTTCATTAAACTTCGTGGGTACAGTAGGAGTTTCCTATGTTTTAGGTTTAGTTTGGTTCTGCACTTGGCAAAATCTGTTTCGTCTGTTAGATTTGGCGTGTTTTACATTAATTAATTAATAATAGGAGTAAGATTGCCTTTCGTCTCTCTGAGCTAAGATCAGATGTAGTATCTGTTCTTTGCAGTGTGATTTTTGCAACGGTCTCTAAACTGAGATCAATAAACTTAACCGTATTTTTCACCTCCGGACGGGTACCTTGCGCTTGCTCAACCCCGTCCACGGGTCGGCCTCGTATTTCATCGCATTAACTAATAGACTCTGAACTATCAGCTTTCGTTTTAAGGCTTGGTGCGGATGGTTAAGTATCTTCAGTCTTTGTAAAAGGGATCCTCAAATTCCTGGATAAGAACCTGTATTTAGTTTCTGAGTTATTCATGTACAAATAATTAAATTCTTGTTCACTATATTACGGTTTCAATCCGATTAGATGGTACATTACTATATTAGGTCAATCGCTATATTATGCTGTTGACCAGTTGATATTTGTCAACCTTTTCCCTATTGCAACCGAGTTTCTTATTGTTTATGTATTCTTTATAACAATCCTTCCATTTGTCAGACTTCGATCTTCCTGGATCTTCTAACAATGAAAAAAGGTGCTTAGATCCAAATAATATCCGGAATGCTGCTAACTTGTATTGGCCTGCAGTTAAATTATCCCGTTTGCCGATCGAATACAACACAAAGAGTTTTCTGCTGAAGCACTTCCAATGTTTTGGTCCTGTTGAACGAATTATATGTCAACCTTCTATGGATGCTGCTTATATAGCTTTTAATTCTTTGGTTAGTACTTATTTGGTTAACAGCTACGTGTTTGCTTCATCTATTGAGTTACCTACATCAAGTTATCAGCGTAAAACAAAAGGAGAGTTATGGTTAACTAGTCTAATAGAATGCATTATTAGTTGCTTGGATGGGGAGGATACCTAACTACAGTTGTAAACACAGCATATACACGTTCCAAATAATTCTAAGTTTTTGAATCAGTTTGAATAACCGCATTGATATAATTAACCAAACGTCTGATTCATACAATCACTGTTCATACTCTGATCCACCGGTTCGGCCGACAAATTGTTGCAATTGTGTGTTGTGTGAATTTGATAGCATATGACTCGCAGAAGAATATATTTCGTTGTTACTGGTTGCGGTTAATGTCATCCGGTTACTAGTTACATCTTCGATTCAAGAATATAGTATTGTCTACACAATTGTATCTCAGTTGTTTATAAAGGCTTGTCAATAACAAAGTGTGTTGTAGATAAGTAAATCAACAAACACTAATACATAGTAATACTGGTAAATGGAAGTAAAATATGTTATTTATTTTGTTTTGGTTATGTAGTTTCTTTCTTTCCTCTACATTGTCAGCATATTTTTTAACCAAATTTTTATTCGTTCTCAATGTTTAAGTCTTCTGCAAATCAAGCTAAACGATCAGGACGTGCATGTATTGTATCTGCTAACATTGATTTGCCTAGCTCAGTCCTTTTTACTATGGCACGATGTCGTCAAACTAATTCTGGATCAAAATCAATATCACCTAAATCAGGTCCTATCAAGGGTAGAAACACTGTATCATCCATATCCCCATCACGTATATCTCTGAAAAAAATGATTACATCACACTCCGTAAGCTTATTTTCATATATATTTGCTTTCATTTTCTGTGATATTATTTTTTAATAACATGTAACAGCCAGCTAATTCATATTTTTCATATATTAAATGACAGCCCATATTGGCAACAGTAGCCACACTGTTTTTTATGATTAGTTAAGCTGTGAAGAATAATTCATGTTTTTATCCCACCAACTGATTCACTTAGGTTTCATTATAAAAAGAGGTGTAGCAATCAATTCTTTTATCCATAGACTCAATACTTACAAAAGACGAATTTGAGCGCATTATAATATTTTTAGTAAGTCTAGTAGGTCCACTTTTAATTGGTACAGTCTTGAACCTCTCTCTGTTTCATCTGTTTCGATTGATTCACCCAAGTAATATTTCCCAACCCTAAGACAAAAATGCTGGAAATTGAAGCTTGATATGTGATTCTGTCAACTGTTAATTATTTTAATTTATGATTATTTTAATCAGAGAGGGGTTTGTGGATGTTCTAGTAATTTAATTGTTCAACTTTTGAGTCAATTGAAGCTAGACCACCATGGAAAACCTGGAAGCATTGAACGGCCATTTCGTCTTATTGTGGGACTCCTCAGCAGTGCGCATCTACGAAACGGCCGTCCAGTGCTTCTAGGTTTTCCATGGTGGTCTGGCTTCAATTGACTCATGAATTCAACAATTAAGTTAAGATTTTTTATTTTTTTTTCGAACTGATCGCATAAAGGCGTTTACACGGTTGGTCAACATCATAAGTGACTATAGAACATGTGATGTAGTTAGTAGGATTGAGAAAAATGTCAAATGTTACTTTATATTTCTTTTCAAAATATTCTTTTTTTTGGTAGAATACAAAGCTGGTCATGAATAAAAAGCAATTTTCCAGAGTACCTGTTTCAAGAGATAATCAGTCATCTACGTCGTCCCAGATAGTATGCAATACACAACCGATAGTATCCTCTATTACACGGCCTAATGCATCCGCCTATAATATTAATGGTCTATTCAATCAGAAATCTCCAAGTGCTACTACACTAGATGAACGACTGTCTGTATTACAAGAATATTATAAACGTGATTGTGAACTGAGGTCTATGTCAAAATCTACTGATCCAAAAATTCAGTGTTCGGATATATGCAACAGCAATACTGGTGAACCGATTCGTCATGCACCCATTAAAGGCACATGTGAAGATATGTGTCCTGAATTGGAACGTTATTGTCGAGCAGCTCATCAACGTGTATCTGTATGCTTTTTTAATACTTTCGTAGTATGAACTTTATCCAAAGTGTAATTATCACTAGTTTGAGCACAACTTTCATATGAAACCTTGCTTCATACTTAATCTGTACAATTAGATAGTTTCTGTAATCACCGTACTATAAGTCTAACTCAGGACGTAGTACGTGATTCTGTATGCAGTTAATTAGCTGTACTGCAGTATTAAAATTGGGTTATCAGTGCCTTTTACTTTCTTTTTAATTTAGACCAGATCATAGCTGCTACCTTAACATAGTGATTGACTTTGCCTATCGTGATGAGTTATATTGGCTGGAACATTTGTTTTCTTAGGTTCATTTGACCACTACTGATCCCTTAAGAATGATTATGCTTCCACAGCATGGGCAACTGGGTGGAAAGTGATAACTATCCTTATACCCCTAACAGCGCTTGAGATCCTCCTGTGTACGATTAAATCACTTAATCACTTCTTGATGTTTCTTTCATCTTCACGATCAACCTTTCTCCTATGACTTTATCCCCGTGTATCACTAATGCTGACTACTCGAGTCTCTTGAAACCTCCCTCTAAACTACATTTTGGGGATTCCAATGCTCGAACCTTATGTCAAATAGGCCGGCAGGCTTCCTTAGCTAAGACTTTAGAATCGCGTGCCATCGATGTATGCTGTCTCGGAAACACACATACACGATCCCAGTATGGTCATCTATCGGGCCTCAGCTAGTTAATATGGGGAGGGTCATTATGGTTTACCCTTCGTGTACCTGGATACGACTCCCATTTTCTCATGGCCTGTTTGGCGTAGGTGTAGCACTAAGTTCAAAGGAAGTACAAGCTGTCGTAGACTGGATCCCAATAGGCCTTCACTTATGCGTTGTTTTATTAAATGGGCAAGTAAGAACACGGAAAGAAAGACATACAACGTTACCTCTTGGTTGTCTCTGCCCACGTCCGCACTGATATTAGTTCCGATAAAGTTTTAGAAAAGACTTTCTCTTCTACAAGAAGTCAAACACTCAGACGTAATTGTAGTATTGTTTTTATCACCCAAGTAGGTAGTTTGAAGTGAAATAAAAAACATTTAAATGGACCTTACTGAGTCCCAGCTCAACAAACTGATGACGACGACCATCTGTCCAGACAACCGTTTATTCCTAAAAAGTATAAGTTTTAAGCATAAGGAGAGACATCGTCCGACATGGCGACCACTAGAATTAACTCAACGATGGCCTCAAACAGGACCATACTGTCATTAGTCATCGTTGGAAAGGCTCAATAGGAGACTGCTGCTCATTCTGGGGCACATGTCTAGACTCTGATCCTGCTCCAGTAGGAGAACGTGTTTGCTTGCTTCATACTAGACCCAGAAAATCTAGATCAAGAAGACCCGAAATAGTTCAGCTTCACGGTGGAGTACAGAGTATATTTGAGAAACAATGAGAAAAGTAGTTAGTCAATCTCTAATGGGATACTCATCTCAATATGGATTGGCATAATATCCAGACATCTGGAGAAACACCATTGGATTTCAGTAGTGTTTACTCAGTTGATAGATGCTTGAAGTCTCATCCCATCTAACTCCGAACGTGATTAGGGCCAAAGGCAGCTTAAACGTAGACTAGTAAAAAGCCTACTCAATGATTGTGAGTAGTGATGGGCAGTGAAAGCATCAGAGATGGAAAGGTAGCGTGAATAGGTAACAGTAGACAACTGTTCAGTCATCTAGAAAACAGATATTAAAAATCCGACTTTTAGTGAGACTATTTCCGAAAAAGATGGGACTATTATTTACTCCCAATCCAGGAGATTCAACAGATGAGCAAAACATTTTGCAGAACAGTTCAACTGAACTTATCCACTATGGCGAACTGGTGTAAGTCCTCCAACTCCTAGTGAGGTTGAGAAGGCTTTAAACAATCTAAAGTGAGGGGGTGCAGCAGGGCCTGATGAACTAACTCCTGGTACATCACTACTCCGAGTGAGATTCTTATGATTGTGTCATTCAGTAGCTTTAGATATTATCAGATATAGTCTAAGATAGGAGCCACTGACGACCCTTTCATAGTTTTGTTACGTTCCTCACAAGTCTTATAAAGTACTTTTGCAATGAGTGAAATATATTAATTACATCTTTTAATGCTTGTTTGTGTGTTTCTTTTTAACAAATTTTTTCTACATAATAATTTCATTTCGTTTTACGTGATACATTTTTAGTACTCTGTAGTACCAGGCAACATTTTGTGTGATAAATGCGAAATACAGTAAAATTACTTATCTAATTTAATCATCAATAGTTTTCTGTACATGTTATCTAAACGAAATAATATTAGATGTATTTATAGTAAATATAATTATTAATGGCTTTATTCAGTATTGTCCCCAAATGCCCTGGTACGGCCGAGGGTAGGGAGAGTCAGCTCTCCCTCTTGAAATGCTCTCACATGGCCACGTGCATACAACCACTGTCACGGATGTCCTACTCACTGATTCTCGTGGCGGGGATGTTGTTTACGAAATTGAGAGGACGGAAAGCAAATGTCAGGCGATTTAACCGGATTGGTGGACATGAAGTGTCCATCTAAGGGAGTTGGAAAACCTTGATTCCAAACCAGTGGTGCACATGGGTTCAAGTATCGTGAAGGAGCAAATGGCGTAGGAACCAATCGTTGGTGACCGACTACCATGGGGCTGCATCTCCTAATCTGCCTTTTGAATTAAACCTTTAACTCGAAGGCTCGGGGTGTGGTCCCTCAAGAAAATCATCTGCTTCGGTTTGGGCACTTGGGCAGTATCATAGCCCACACACAAATCAAGTGATTTGTATGGCGCATATGTATTTGGTGTCCTTTTGTACCAATATTTATGTGTTCAAATAAATAAATTCAATATTATATATTTAGTATAATATGAAATTCTCTCTACATTTTTTGTACTACTGTTAACATTTTTTCGTTAAGTGTTTCATAAATTTTCATAATTTCTTCACTTAAAGATATTTGAGTGTTTGCCTACTACAATGAGTGTTAATTCATCTTCTTGGGAGATGGATCATACTCGGGCTGTGAAAGATTATCAACGTTCTTCAGCCGATCAACCTGTACCACTACCCCGAGAACTACGACCGACATCTGTTTTGCAACGTACAATGGCTTATTTATTAGCTAGTATAGCTGATCGCCCAGAAATTGACACCAGTCGTAGCCTATGGAAACCTTGGTATGAATTTATGTGGACACGTACACGTGCTATTCGCAAAGATATACGGCAGCAAAACCTATGTTGTCCCATTGTTATTGGTGTTATTGAACGGATAGCAAGATTTCATATTTTCTGTGCTGCACGATTAGTTGATCAACCAGTGGATACTTTTGATCCCCGTATTAATTCAGAAAATTTGACTCAGTGTCTGCAAACATTAAAGGAGATGTACAGTGATTTAGATTCATCAATTACTTCTGAGAATACTTGTCCTAATGAAGCAGAATTCCGAGGTTATATGCTTTTAATGAAACTGAACGATCAAAACGAGATCAAGTGAGTACATAGCTTCTGTATTTAAGAGGTTTTGAAAGTCGTGAAAAGAATAGGGAATTTCTTAGTTAATAGTGGTCCACAAATGAGAATGCGTCTATTATACAATGTACATATTTTTTTTTGGCGGTGTTATGCCCCCCTTATTTTTTCTTACTAGTTCACTTAAATGTTGATGTATCTAACTGGGAAATACTAAGAATTCTATATTGTACCAAAATATAATATTAAATAAAGCCATTAATAATAATAATAATAACGAAACTCCAATCGTTAATTCTATTAATAGTCATCACTATCAGACTGAATTGATATCCGTTTTCAGCATTACCACGCTAGTATCTCATACGACAACAGCAGTTGGTCACTTCATTTCAACTGTATCTATCGTCAAAGATTGACCCTAAAATTTCCTTTCAGTAATATCATTTATTAAAGCTGATGAAGCGTATTCTTTAATCTCGCTGGTATTTACTTCATGGATATGTTCAGGACAACTTGTCACTTTGGAACACCTCCGTACGTGTGTCTGTTTATCAGTATAATTGATTCTATGGAGCAAGTCGGTTATATATCAGTCTCACACAACCTACTCTTCTTAATGCGTTTTCCTTCGAGAAAAGTTACTAAAACAATAACCATCTAGATCACTGAATATTTCGTCGATCGATTAAAATAAAAGATTTATCAATCTATGTATGCGTTTAGATAAAATGGATCATAGTGGATGTGAATTCGTAACTTGTTCACAACAGATGCATAAGCTATTTACCAATTTAAACCGGAAATTTGTTTGAAAGTAATGTATCGAATTTCTCTTTCCTTCCGGATGTTGCCCTCTAAGAAAACCACCTGCTTCTGTCTGGGCACCTGGACAGTATCACAGCCCATACACAAGTCAAGTGATTTGTGTAGTGCATATGTATTCGGTGTTTCTTTGTACGATTATTTATGTGATCAAATAAATAAAATTTCATCATTGTGTAGGTTGGTGGATAATCTTAAGGCAACTGTATGTTCGATTCTCTAATGCATTTGTAACGATACATGATCAATCTGTCTTGTATTAGTCTGCGGAAATCGGGTAATACTTATAGATAGGATTTTCTGTGATATATAGCTTCATCTAAGGACATTTTTCTTTGCTGAGCTTCTAATTTTTCTTGGTTAAAGGTAGCCTTGTTTCGTAATTGCTTCAATCACCTTGATTCAGTGAATTTTTAATCAGCTCTTTAAAAATACCGGATAGTGACTTGTTTCTTTCACTTACTTAATTTGCCCTGTATGACTTTGATTTATCAAGCACATTTCTACCTTTGGTGTTTTTTTTATTTTTTTTAGTGAAGCTCAACGTTTACCTGAACGACTACGTCAATCTAAACCTGTACGATTTGCATTTGCTACACATGAAGCTCTCATAACAAACAATTATATCAGATTTTTTCGTTTAGCTCGTCAAGCTACATGTTTAGTTGCTTGTCTTATGCATAGATATTTTGTTCAAATACGTAGTCAAGCTTTAATGAAACTATCTTGTGCATTTGCTGGACATCCAAAACGAGAAGTTCATGTGAGTATCGTTTCTTCGATTTGCCTGTCAATTTTTTAATCTTATTGAAATCAAAGTCTTAAATTACATTGTGTTATAACGCTCGGTATTACCTTGTCAGATGTTGTAACGCTTAAACGATTATCTACACTAGATCCCTCCCAGTGTCTATTCTACAGGACTTCAACACAACTCAGATCAAGAACACGTAATCAGCCTGACCAGAACGTAATATATTTTACACCCAAAACCGACACAATCCACAACAATGAACAATCAAAAATAGGATGTATATAAGAGTGAGTGCGTCACAATAATAAGGGTAAGGGAATATATAACTTATCTGACACCTGTCAGACTGTCTACATGTCTGAGTAAGCAGACAACCAATCATGATCATTCTCGCCCACACATCACATTGTCTTCTTTTTCATGTACTACAATAATCCTTCAAAATGTTAGTTACAGTTAATGGAATTCTATACGATGAACTTGTGGGAGTTAGATCGAATTATTAATTCACTTCTGAAGTTGTTTTCCAATCAGTCACATAAGTATTCCCTGCTTCGGTTTGGGCGCCCGGGTAGTATCCTAGCCCTCACACAAATCGAATGATTTATATATATATATATATATTTGGTGCTTCCTTGTACTAATGTCTATGTGTTTAAATAAATAAATACATAAGTATTCAGTCCCATGGTCATCGTGTTGCAGTTCCAAATCTCAGTTTGATACATATAATATAGTCTAAAACAAGGGGATTTCGACCTATGCATTCACTGACTTAACCTCCAGTTAGTAGATTATAATGCCTAATCCTATTCCACCATCTGAAGTTCAGTCTTACCTACTGTATAAGTAACTTCCTTGCAATGTGATTTATAGACGAGAATATGAACCTGATCGTAGTTGTTTATTTTCTACTTCTTTAGGTTTGAACAACTGTTTTGTTTAGTTAACAGTGAACAAAATTGATATTACATAATATGTAATCTATGCAGAAATAGTTTGTTTTTATTCAAAAACGTATTACAAAGTCACATTCGTCATACTAGTATATGGATAACATTTTCATGAGAATTTTGTTGAGAATATCCACTTCCTCACATCTATGTTAATTTGGTTTCGAACTCGTGATCTTGCGTTTAAAGGACTATTGACATTTATATCAGAAGGCGTTTTGTGGATATTACGGTAATTTTAGTAGTTGAGATCATAAGTTAGTTAATACTAGACCACCATGGAAAATCTCGAAGCACTGGATGGCTGTTTCGTCCTATTGTGGGATTCCTCAGCAGCGCGCATCTACAATCTGGCCTCGTGAGATTTGAACCCAGGAGCTATCAATCTGGCACGGGAGCGCTTAACCACTAGACCACTGAGATAGCTGGCATCCAATGGTGTTAATGTCCAATTTCAACTAATCCACGAAATTGAGCGACGCATCCACCATTGTCTTCAGTGAGTTACTATCTGACAACAGACCCGGTTGAACTCCACTGGTCACTACTTCTCACTAGAACTCCATGAAATTCCTCTTGAAGCCAATCACTAGTGAGCATATGTTGATTAATATCAGAAGGGATATTTGTGGATATTATGGTAATTTTAATAGTTAAGATCATAAGTCAATTGAAGTTAGACCACCGTGGATTCAGATTTAACCTTAATTATTTCTTATATAGTAAACCACAAATGTTATACACTCCTTGTTTGTTGTCACATAATTAGCATCAAGTTAGTTTGTTCAACATTTTTTTCGCTACAATCATCACTTTTTTCCCCACTGTTTATCTTAAATTTTTAAACAGTATCCTATTTCTACTCTCACACAACAACTCGGTTTTGAAAATGAAACAGAATCTAAACATTTCTGTGAAACATGGGGTTTATCAGTGTTTGATTCAAATGTGATATTTGAAAAACAAATTCAACCTCAACCACCTACGTTACCATGGAAAGAACAGAGGTCATTTCACGTACGCGCCATTTTTAATTAGTTTCACCGTATATTTCTTTTTCTCCTTGTTGTGCATTGTATATTGATTTTTGTTGTTATTCGTTTTTCCGTATTGTGTTTAATAGTTAGATTATATTTTTAGCCAACATAATTACAAGTAATCATTTATCTAACCACATTCAATTCCCTGCTATAATATTTTTAAATTGTTTTAGGATTGAATTTATTATTTCTGAAACAGCTCCTACCTTAATGTAGTTGTCAAGGTATCATCACTGTTGGGTTGAGCAATATTGAGTGAAATATTTACTTCTTTATGTCCAATCATTTTAGGTAGCTTAGTTTGAAAGCTGGTAAGATGAAGAGCAGTGAATGTAAGATCTAAGGATGAAGGCGTATTGTTGACTGTTCTGGTTTGTGGAGGCATTTTCCCACCAATAACCACCATTGTCTCTAGTGCTACTGACTTTCCACAATGAAAAGTTGGGCTAAAAAAGATCAACCTAAAAAATAACATTTTTCCTTTACAGAAGCATCAGTGTAACTTATTCCCCGTTTAATACACTAGTTTTAACAATAGTTACACTCCCTATTTTGATTTTATGTCATTATGGATGACATCATCTTGCAGTAGATGGTCACGTACCCAGATATTCACTCATTCAATTATTATGCTCAAATTATATAATTACGTTTTGTGCAGGACATTAAAAAATTAGTCCTCTAAACTCCTTGATTAGTGATCCGTTGATGTTCGGGACATGTTTCTCTTCCTCTGAACACAAAACGTTACATCAGAACTGCTTTCGATAATCCCTTAGTTTGGCCGTAGATAAGGAAGTAGTTAAGGCGGGCGTTAAAATTCCTTGCAGAATTCCACCTTGTTGTGTAGATCAGTCGTTACACAACTGACAGCCTGTTCTATCAGCCCTGATCTTGGTCGGTCGTTGTTGACCGTTGTCCTGTCCTGAGTTCGACTTTCGACCACTAAGTCCCAAGTTCAGACCCTGGTCAGCTTTAGTTTGGGCAACCGCGTAATGTCATTAGCCCTCAATATTAGAATCTGGCTTACACCTGAGAACCTAGTGAATAAGTTAGTTTTATAATAATTAATTAAAACTAATTTACATTGTGGATTTTATGTCATCAAGGACGCTTTTAATCACAACAACTAAAATTACTCGCGTTCAAACCTCATTCAGAAGAATGAAGACTCACTGTAGCACACCTAAAACACGAAAAACTGAAAATATTTAATTAATGTTCTTCAAAAGAACGTCAATCTCATTAAAAAAAATTGCTTACCAAACTTGTCAACAAGATCTAAAGCAAATGTGGGAACGAACAAACAGATCATCTTACCATATTATAAAACACATCAGAAATTGAAACAAGAGTATTGGAGCAGTTTGAAATAGCCCTAGCCTATAAACCACCAAAATCACCTCAATCCAACTTATGCAAACCGAATGATTAAATCACAAAAGAAAGTTCAAAAATTATCTACAAAATCAATTGCTCCATCTGAGAGAAACACTGCATTGACCAAAGTATCCACAGTTTCCATTTCCAGTTTCATGGATATTAACCCACTGTCAAAGACCATGATGTGTCTTCGCACATAGTCAAATAGGGAGAAACGTTCACCTGAGAAAATGTTGGAATCTTAAAGGGAATATTAAAATGATCAGTGGATTTTTAGAAGCTTAACATACAAGCCAATTAGCAATTAATAAGCATATCGAAATCAATCCAATTTATCAATCAATTATTAGATCACAGAGGTTGACCATCAAAATAAATATCCAAATAATTACAAGAGAAAAGTCAGCAACAACAACAAAAACCAATCAAGCTTGACAGAATAGACTGTCAATTGGAATAGCTCACTTCTATTTTAAATTTATGCCGTCGATATTACCCAGAGGGATTGCGAAAAGTTAATGATTAAACCACCAATCTCAAACAACGGAACCCCATCTAAGTTATGAATCTTTCCTATCCTCTCGAGTAAGTTATTCACAAGGTCTAATCATTAGCAGAATGTTCTCAATGACCTCAAATAAATACACCGCAACGGTTCAGTCTACATGTTTAACATAGAATATTTGTGTGATTTGGTTATTCGAGGTGTTTTATCACGTTATAAACCATTCATATAATTGTCATAATTCTCTAAACTTTAAAAACGACTCATACTTGGCACACAAATATGTATATAAAGTTATTCACTTGTAAAATGGATGTTTTGAGTTACATCTAGAACCGCCCTCATACCTCTAACAGCAATAAAAACCACTGACTGACTAGAACGTTTTACCAAAAATACGTTGATTATACATTCAGTAAAGAAATATGGATAAATTGATTCCTATTTATTTATTCTCTTATCTTATTTAATACAATTTTTCTAGCTAGTTGAGAATAAGCGTATTGGTATCCCATTGTCTGTTTTATTCAATGGTTCTCCTATTAACCCTTCAGATGCAATACCATCTCCTGTTCAGTCTTCGTTTGATATAAACGGTAAATATATTTGTTCACAAAAGAAACCTACTCAAAATGATAGTGATACACTTGACTATAGTAAGCGTATTGCTGACAATAATGTTTGTAATAATAATTGGATCACTCCATATATGGATCAACAACCTATAACAAATTCCACATCATCGTCAACAACCAATTCATGGTTAACTGAAAGCAATACATATAGCAAAAAACAAATAATTGATGAATTGTTAGAATTTGTATATAATGAATGTGTTGATGAAGTTCTATGCTATTCAAAATTTGCTCAAACTATTCTACTTGAAGAGATAATAATTAGTGAACTGATGGAAAAGTTAATTACAGATTTTATTGAAGATCATCTAGTTGATGTATGTTTTGTTCATGTTTCCTTTTATTTTGATTATCATCAATTGTTTCTTTTTTCTATAATCATTGAGAAGTGGACTTTAGTAATTTAATGTTCACAAAAGATATATTCACATAGCACCAGTTTATTTTATTGGAACTGAAAACATTATAGCTTTTCACTTCCTATCCTACTACGAAATGAATGTATTTACTATGAAGTATTAAATTGCTAGTCTGTTCGTATCAGTGTTTACCACTACAGTGGATTGTTACCAATTATCTTTATAAACTGCCTATATTTTACTGCTAAAGAACATATTCATTAACACATCCTTCTACATCTAATGTTGTCCCATCCTATTCCGTCAGTCTGCTACAAAATATGTTAGTCAATATGCGTTTCTGTTGTAATCCTAGAGTTTCTTTTATACATTTCTTAATATATTGTTAGATATGATTCATCAATAAAAATTCAGGTCATAATTCTCTGCTTCAAGTACTATTTTAGTTTACAACCCATCATCCTTAGCTTTGACCAATTACACGCTTCAATCGACAACAACTGGTGTTAAGCAACCATGAGATGACGTAGAGGACTATCGAATCAAGAACACCATTTTTTTCTATTCTAATATTCAGTTTAACAAAAGAACACAACTCAATCAAATTTTACATCGTTATATTTCAATTACTTATAAGTTTCTACAAATGAATTATCCTGCCGCGATACGCTTCAAACAAGAAATCACAATTTGTACACAATCAGGACATAAGTGATAAAAAAATAGGAAAGGTAATGAATGAGTTAGCGACAGTTAAGGAATTGTATACAGTATAACAACGGTTAATGAATCCAATGGAATTTTCAAACAAGGGGAATGTAAAAACATAACAAACCAGTTAGATAATAATTATACAATAATAATAATAATTCATTTTGTATTGTTTTTACTTGAATCTTCCCATTGATGTTTAGGACTGAAATTGATCAGTCTCTTAATAACATATGTACATACTGTGCCTATTGCCTCGATATTACCTTAATTTACAAGCATTACAAGCAAAGATGGATAGTGGCTAGCAGTGGAATCCAGTTTGACGCGCGTTTCGTCCTATTTGGGACTCGTCAGCTGGATGTGCCTGCATCTCAAAGTTGATTTTCACTCTGGGACTCGAACCCAGTACCGTCCGCTTCAAACACCATCGCGTCCTAAAAATCAATGGGAAGATTCGAGTAAAAACAATACAAAGTGAATTAAACTTCACCCCATTGCACAAGCAAGTGGCTATCAGGACTCAGTAGCTAAGTGGATAACGCGATGGCGTTTGAAGCGAATGGTACCGGATTTGAGTCCCAGGGTGAACATCAAGTCTGAGATGCAGGTACATCCAACTGACGAGTCCCAAGTAGGACGAAACGCGCGTCAAACTGCATTCCACTGCTAGCCACTATCTATTTTCGCTCATAATAATAATAGTTTGTAAAATAGTTTCTCTAAGCTACCACTTTCTCAATAATCGTTCTTCTATAGCAATTTTATTAGTGCTTCATTGTTAAGTAACTTACTAATGCTATCAAATGTTTCCAATTCGTTTATGTACGTTTTATATGGAGTATGCTTAAAGTATTGACCTGTATATCGTATAAAAATCTGTTGTGTTGGTAATATAAATCACAGTCACTTTTCAACCGGTTAGTTGAAATATTTCTAGATAACTATTTCTGACTTGCTTTATTCTAAGTAATATCTGGATATATATGTATATACTGCCAGGGAAGTCCTACTCACTGCTTCCTCGTGACATTGCTGTTGTTTACGAAATTGAGACGATGAAAAGCGTATGTCCGGCGTTCTAACCGGGTTGGTGGATATGAGGGATCCACCCATGGCAGTTGGAAAACCCTCATTTCAAACCAATCGTACACATGGGCTCCAGGATCCTGAGGGAACAAAAGGTATATGAACCTATTGTTAGTGACCGACTACCATGGGACTGCATCTCCTGACGTTGCTCGACTGTCTTATGGATTAGACCTTTAAGTCGAAGGCTGCAGGTGTGGCCTCGTAAGAAAACCATTTGCTTCAGTCTGGGCACCCAGGCAGTATCACAGTTCGCACACGAATTCAATGACTTGTGTAGCGCATATGTAGTCGGTGCCCGCTTGTAACAATGTTTACGTTTTCAAATAAGTTAAAATATAGATTACTTTTGATGGAGTTCATATAGAAATCTGAAGTTTATGGTGATGATGTCATTCAAAAAAAAAAACGATGAAAACTCCACGACCAAACCATCCAGCTCAGAGAACAGAACTCCATCAAAATCATCCACCTGAGCTACAAATCTTCTCCATCATCTCATATAGAATACTGTTTATGTGACTATTAAAGATCTAGTTTTACTTTGATATATCCAGTGTTTCAAAAGACTAATTCATTTCAGTACTTTTATCATTTTTATTGGTTTTTTATTTTATTTTACTAGCTTTTTAATAATAAATTAGATCTTGTTCGTCAAATATATAAACAAATCATAGAAAATGTAACAAATGAAACAATCAACTTATATTTACATAGTTTAGTTCATCGTGAATTGAATTTAGAATATCTTTATGTAAGTTTATTTATTTTTTTAAAAACAATCTTTAATTAACCTTTAAAATACAGTAATTGTGAGATAATTAAATTTCTAACATTATTGTTTTATCAGAAGGGGTTTTGTTGAGATTTTAGTGATTTCAATAGTTAAAAGCACTGGACGGCCGTTTCGTCCTAATATGGGACTTCTCGGCAATGCGCATCCACGGGGGGGGGCGAGATCGTGGATGCGCACTGCCAAGAAGTCCCATACTAGGACGAAACGGCCGACAGTGCTTCCAGGATTTCCATGATGGTTTAGCTTCAATGGACTCATGATTTCAACTATTGAAATTATTGTTTTAATAGTGTATCTCAATTGTATGACACTTTAGTGGCCTAGTATCTAACTCTTGTTAGATCGTACAAATGATGATTGTTGTTGAAATATACATGACGCCAATCCTCGTTTATTTTTATCGACTTATTTGATGTTAGAGTATAAAGGAATAAGTTAGATACGATAATGAATTTTGAATACTTATATTTTGTACAGTCGTTGATTCAGACAGATAATTAGAGCAACGAAGTGAAGAAAGCAAAGCGGAGAATGTACATCAGATTCTCCTCGTTCATCGATGGTACTGCCCAAGTATGTGGAAGATTCCACCTCTTCCAGAGTTTCTCCATCAAGTATGATTGCATTGGTGTTCTCTGTGTTGTATTTGAGGATCTTGCTTTTTTGTGTATATTGAGGCCTACTGATGCAGACTTCTTGTACACTGGTTGTCTTGACTTGCATTTGTTGCTGTACATGGAATAGAAGAACAAGAAAATCTAAGAATTCCAAACGTCTAGTCGCATCCAAACTATCCACTGTATCACGCGATCCGTCTGATATGTGAAGGTCTTCATAATCCAGTAGACCACTGGAAGGAAGAGAAAGTGGAGAATAATCAATCTTGTTTGACACCGGTTTTCACTTGGAATGCGTTTGTCAGCTGTCCTCCATGCACGAATTTGCAGTGTAGTCCGCCGTCAGAACTCTGCATGATGTTGACCATTTTCTTAGGTACACCATAGTGTCGAAGAATGTTCAATAAGGTTTTCCTATCCACACTGTCAATCACTTCATAGGCAATGAAGTTGATGTATAGTGACGAGTCCCATTCAATTGATTGTTCAATGATGATCCGTAGTGTTGCGATTTGGTCTGTGCACGACCTACACTTACGGAGTCCGGTCTGTTGTTTTCATAGTTGAAGGTCTACTGAGTCTTTCGTCCGATTCAGCAACACTGTTGAAAACGTTTCTTAGTATCGATAGTAGCGTGATGCCTCTGTAGTTCTCACATTTGCTCAGTTCTCCTCTATTTGGTATGTTGATGTGGTATCATTCTTTCCAGTTTCTCGGTGGCATTTGTTCCTCCTCACAAATCCCCCTGAATAGAACGTGGATCATGTTTGCAGTTACTTCTATGTTTGACTTGAATGCTTCAGCTGATATGTTGTCAGGTCGTTGTGCTTTGCCACTCTTGATTTGTCTGATTGCCATGCTGATTTCTTCGATCATTGGTTGGTGGGGTAACAGCTATAGGGAGGTATGTGTGTGCTGCTTCAATATCCGATGAATTGAGTGGATCTGGTCTATTCAAGAGTTCTTCGAAGTGTTTCATCCATCTGTTCCTACATTATTGAGTTTCAGTGATTGACTTGCCTTGCTTGCTCTTCCACTTATTTCTAATTGTCGACTCTAGTGTTCTTGTCCACTTGTTTGTTTGATTCAGCGTGTCCTTTGACTATGTTTGTTCTTGTCCTACTATTGTTAATTAGTGCCTTCTTGTTCTTCCTTCCTTGAATCCTACCTTGGATTTCGATAGAGATCCATTCCTTATGATGATGCCTCTTGCGATCTAGAACCTCCTTCCACGTTGAAGCTAGTGTTTTTATGATCTAATCCCAGTTGTTTCCCATAGTAGATTCCTGTTCTTTGAATAGATCTTGTAAGGCTTGGAACCTGTTGTTGAGAGTAACATTGAATTAGTTGGGTTTGTCAGTATCTCGAGGGAAGGCTTTATTAAACCTTTGTAATACAGAGGTACATAGAAGTAGTTCATTATACCAGACAAGATTAAACTGAAACATTTTTTATGATATACTCTAATTGGTCTATTTGTATTCCTAATTCTTTATTTTCACTTTTTCATTATCTAACAGAATGAATATGTTGATCAATTAATCAATGAACAATTACATCAATTGGCAATGTCTTCTTTAACTTTATCAATTGCTACATCACTATATAATTATTCATTATTAAAATGTTGTTTTAATCGTTTTCATTATTTAATATGGAAACGTAATGAATTAATGGAACGAGAAATTTTATTAAATACAATGCCAACATCAGTTAGTAGTGATTGTTTACCGTTATGTTTAATGATTAATAATAATCAAATGAATACTAATGAAAATGTATCTACTTTAAAATTATTGAAACATTCAAGTTATTCACGGATTTCATTGGAAATGTTAAAAGTAAGTTGGGTTTTTTTGTTGTTGTCAATTATCAAGATGTATTTAAACTATCCACATTGCTCTGTTCATATATTTATTTATTTATTTAAACACATGAACATTGGTACAAGGAGGTACCAAATAGATATGCGCCACATAAATCATTCGATTTGTCTGAGGGTTAGGATACTATTGCCCGGATGCCTAAACCGAAGCAGGTGGTTATCCTAGGGGATCACACCCGCTGCCTTCAACCTGTGGTTCTGATCCATAAGGAAGTGGAGCAACGTAAATAGATGCAGTCCCGTGGTAGTCGGTCACCAACGATTGGTTCATACGCCATTTGTTCCTTCATGATACTGGAGCTCATGTGTACGATTGGTTTGTAATGAGTGTTTTCCAACTCCCCTAGATGAACTCTCCGTGTCCACTGACCCAGTTAGAGCGCCGGACATTGGCTTTTTGTCCTGTCAATTTCGTAAACAACACCCCTGTTGCGATAAGGCAGTGAGTAGGAGTTCCCTGTCAGTGGTTGTATGCACGTGGCCATGTGAGAGCATTTCGAAGGGGGAGAGTTGACTCTCCCCACCTTCGGCTGTACCAGGGCATTTGCGGTTTGATTTTCAAACGAAAAGTTACATTTATCGTTTTTTTTATTTATAAGTTGAATTATATCGGAAATACAAATTACATAAAATTGGTTTGAAATTATGAAAATCTAATATGTCAAACTATATGTCATGATTGGAAATTTTGTGGACGATGTAGTATATTTGGTCTTTACATAGCGAATGTTTTAATTCTCTAGTATACAAATCTTTTCATGGTTGTTCGAAATAAATTATATCATCTCACTTATTCTAAAATCTATGACTCAATGTATGTGGCGCCAATGTCGTACTTCGTATAAAATAAATGTTTACAAGAGCGTATACTTTACTAAAGTTGTATGCATTTTTTCGAACTATATCATCTACATCAAAGTCAGAATGATCTTAAAGCAATCGCTCTGACAACCCATGAATTTGTACATGGACAGTAATTTGAAACTATTTTTCTTATTCTTAATTTCCGATTTCATCTATAATATGTGATTTACATGAATTTTGTTGTTTGATGTAAAAACATATTGCCACCTGAATTTCATCCATCCTTAAGCTGTCGTTCCATTTCCAAACTATAACATCTACTACAAACAATGCAATACCCGTTATGTGTTATTATTTTGCTCTTCACATAATGTGTTGATTGTAACCCATTAGGCCGTTTTACTTGGTTATTGTACCATTTTACATCACATAATCGAACAGAAATACAATATGATTCATGTTATGTCCTGATAAGCATAATGAATGGTAACTCTGGGATCCATTTATGGACCAATACTAAACGTATATTTTTATTGTATAATTGTTAAATAACTAAACTATTCATATTCATATTCCTCTTATTATAAGCTTTATTTTAACCTATAAACCATTATTATACGTTTTACCATTCTTGAATTATGCCCTGTTTATTAGTCACTGCCTCTCACATTCACAGCCACATTTGGCCAAATTTTGTACAAATGTTATTTTCTATTTTATGGTACGTTGTGGTCTGTTTGATTGGTATATAAACCGAGTATGTTTGAAATACATGATTCATATCGCAGAGGCTCGAATTGGTGTTCTGGACTTAACTGGCTGGGCTAGGCGGAAAGCAGGACCAATCAGGATTCTAGACTGATCGTACGGGTTTACGCGTCATTGATCCGATCGATAAGTCACTGCTCCCTAATTGGCGGTATTACTACTTATCCATTAACAGGGCACTCAAGCCACAAGTTATAACAATTCACATGTCTTATGTCGCTTTGAAAGTTCATTTCTTGTCTTATGTTTTTATACTTCGTATAATATTAGTAACTAGTAGTAATCAGTATTATGGTGTATGCTACTGATGCTGACAGATATAAGTAGTTTGTAGCATCAGTCGGAAGTGGGAATGCCTGAATACAGGAGGATATTGAAATCAAGAGAATATGAATAAAATCGGAGAGTAATCGAAACAACAACAGAATTAAATGAATGGTGTAGTATGTAAGGAACAACGTAAAGATGTGCAAATGATGTTTTTAATGTATGATTTTAATATTTCACTGATTTGCTGTATGATTTTTCATTAAACAATATATTGGTTTTCTCGTTCATTGAAGTATGAATTAGATTTGAAGTTTTTCATATTTTGCAAATGCTAACGATGATAGTTGTTATGAACCCGTTGAAACAAGTTTCATATCAATCCTTTTTTTCTGATTTATATTTTTCCGCTGTTCACTACTTTTAATTATCAGACATTAAAAGTGTATATTCGTTTCGTATCTCAAGTAGATATCACACATCTGTTTGGGGTATTTCTTAGGGTAGATTATGAAATGTTGTAAGTTTATGCCTTGTTTCTTTATCCTCTTCTTATTGGGGATGGTTGAAAGAAAGTTAGGGGCGACCAAATCTAAACGTGGTTTCAATTGACTCATGATCTCAACTATTTAAAAAATCACTATAATATCCACAAAACCCCTTCTGATAAAAATATATAGTTAAAACAATGTAATCTACGTTAGAAAACTATCCTTTCATATTAGCAGTTCGTACTAATATATTTAAGGGCGAATAATAAATCTTGAACTGGATGGATAATATGTAAAGAATAGTTCTAAGTTAGTTAACCCCTGAAGAGGTTAGACGCAGGGTATTAAAGAATGATGGTAAATCAGTTGATGAGGTTGTGAATCTTCATCGACTTAGATGGTAAGGCCACGTGTTACGTATGCTTGAATTCCCATTACCACAACGCGTAATGCTGATCAGTGTTGGGAATAGTTGGACGAAAGTTAGGAGCGGCCAAACCTAAACGTCGCATCAGTCCTTGAAGTCATTAACTTGTGGTGTCAGTCATGTTGGTAGATGCCGACTAATTGGTAAGGGTCTACGCGAATATCATAACCAATAAATGAAGACTGTGAATGACATGTTTCAGAATCGGTCACAACGGCGTAGGTGTATACACTCTTTGTCTTCCTTTAAACTATAAAATTAAAATCACTTCATATCTTTTTTCTACCAACTAATTCTTTCTTCCTGTACTCTATCCTTATATGCAAAATCTTTCTTTTATATATTACCACAGTTGAATTAACTACTTCTATAAATCCGGTGTTCATCTTGTTGTGCAAATGAATGAACTATGGCAACTTGAACCGATGCACATATGTGCCTGATCCTACCTTATAACTGACTAAATGAGGTGTTTAAATCTGACTCATTTTTTTATATTCATGAAATGTTTTTAGCTAATAATTAAATAAATATTAAAAACACATTTTATTTAGTATTTTTCACTTGTTTATTTATATTCTTATTATTTACTTGTTTTCTTTAGTTAGATAATGAACTTACTTGGTCTCCATTAAAACTATCTCCAATATTCTATAAATATCCATTAGGATTATATAAATCTATCTTAATATCTACTAATAATTATTCAAGTATTAAACAACAACATTTTACAAACATTTTCTATTGGATTTATGAAAAATTAAAACATTTACCTATAGTTCTATTCAATGAATGGTCAAATTCATCAATAATATTTAATAAATTATCAGGTATTATCCTAATTGGTCACTTTGATCATTCAATAACTAGAGAACAATTAATCTCGATGTATTCAATGGATCTAATTAATAATTATGATAAAAATATAATTAATCATTTATTTATTTTAATTGTAACTGATTCATTACAAGAAATTCCATATTCATCATTTGAAAATATACAGAATAATGATGGAATCTATTTTGTACATTTATCTAATCCTATTTCATTTAAACAAAAATTTCAACCTAATCCATTTTGGTCAATTAATTTACAGCATGGTCTTAATTGGATAGAAGAATGTTTTATGAAAAAAATAAATCATTTAAATTACAATGATTATCATACATTTCAAAATGGACATAATGCTAATTCAAAATATTCCTTGTTATCATCATTATCATCATCTCTATCGAATAGTGAAATTACCATCTTGTACACAAAGCTGTATAGTTTAATAAATGAATACATTGATATAGCATTATTACGTCCATTGGGTAATTTGTCTAGAAGTTGGAAGTTGCACGGGCTTGTTGATCCAGTAAGTGACTACATGTGATGTAATTATTACATATACCATGCACTTCAACTTACGCCTGTTACTCCCAATGGAGCATAGGCCGCTGACCAGCATTCTCCAACCCACTCTGTCCTGGGCCTTCTTTTCTAGTTCCATCCAATTCTTGTTCATTTTTCTCATATCTATCTCCATTTCCCGGCGTAATGTATTCTTTGGTCTTCCTCTCTTCCTTCGACCTTGAGGATTCCATATGAGGGCTTGTCTTGTGACGCAGTTCGGTGCTTTCCTCAATGTGTGTCCATACCATGCACTTAGTTAAACAAAATTTCATGCACATAGTTTCTTTTATTATCTTAAATAGAGCAAGAACGATGATCGGTGCAGAAATCTTATCGTAATATCATTATATCATTCCACTTAATATTTCTTAATGCTGTTAGGTGGTCTTTGCATAAAAGCTTAAACTGCAGTGTGGTTGAAACGAGATATTGGGTTGCGATATCAACTAGCTTAAATTTAAACCAGCCTTTCTTCTCTTCATTAACTAGGTGCGATTCTTTAATTTGACCAAATAAATTCTCAAATTGAGTTTCTGTCAATTCTGTCGGCATGTATTTTTAGGATATGAAATTTAAATCTAAGCGACAAAGCTTCTGTTTCTATCTGATTTAACTTCACTGTGGATAGATTATAAGGAAGTTTTTCGGGGTTTTCTGGAAAACCAAAGCATAAATGTTCCTTTGACAGTCTTTGACGAAGTTACGTGGAAATTCTTGCATATTTCGCTTTGCAGACCTTGGATAAATATGATAAATTCTGTGCGACATACGATACTTAAATCGTTGACTAATTCATCGAAGGCATTGGTTTCTGCCCTCAAACGTTCATCCAGTAACTTTGTTGATTCTATGTGAGATTTTGTGATGCACTGGAGAAATGTTTCGAACAATAGTAATATATTTAATTGAAACAGTCATAAATTGTTGTTATGGCTCTTACTGTCCCAATCAACATAGTTGTTTAATACAGTAATATCCAAGCCGGTACTACCTTCAAAGAACGAAGCCAAAGAATTTTCGCCTGAGTTGGTAGATACCTTACAATGTTAAAAACGGAAATAATATTCTCAAAATATCACTATAAAAAGTCACATGCAGTAGGCAAAAATTTGTGGTCAGATTGTGGTAAAATAACCCTTTAAAATATATTAGTTTATGTATCCTTCGTAGAGTGTGTGCTCTTTCTCATAGTTATCCATTTGAACATCATGGAAAGGTAAGATCTCGTATTAAAAAATGGTTATTTCTAACTGATACGCGCTCATACTAGGTCATATATTGAACTGTCTGACTATCATGTCCACATCCAATTGAAATAGCCCTCATATCTTGCTAGATAAATAATCGTACGGTTTATTTACGTTTCTTTAAAAAAATAAATTGTTGGGCAGTGAATATCAGTCTTTTAAAAAAACAATCCCCAAATCACTTGATAATGTTACGTTTCACGGTTATGTCAAATTGTGCTAGTAGACAGAGAACAAATACGTCTCTAAAGCGAAAGTGTTCAAGACTTGGGGACGCTCAAAGAGTGGAAAGAATTTTGTGATTGATTGCTTTTTAGTCATCTTCCTGGATGCTTCGGGAAATTTGTTTCTAACTTCTTTCAGAGGTCAACAGTCAGGAGTTAAATGAATATAAAGTTTTAATGACTAATTGAAGTAATTTGTTGTCTACAAGAAATTAGCCTTATTGAAATCTTGTTACGACCACATTCCAGTCATATCAACTGTATACTCTTACAGTAGTATCTAAAATACTAGCCTCGATAATTATCGGACGCCTAACTAAGACTCGTGAACTGCAAACACGTGAAAATCAGGCTGGCTTCAGACCTGGTCGTGGCTGCATCGACTACATATTCACCAATCGTCAGGTTCTAGAACACAGGCATACTTATCGGCGTCCGACAACGGTGGTCTTCCTTGACTTATAAGCAGCGTTTGACTCTGTTGACCGAGAGGTTCTGTGGCAGTGTCTGTCATTGAAAGGCGTACCTCAGAAGTACATAAACCTTGTGAAAGCTCTTAATTCGAACACTACCAGTCGAGTCAGAGCTTATGGCGAACTGTCATCCGCTTTTGCAACCTCAAGTGGTGTCCGTCAATGCTGTCCACTTTCTCCACTTTTGTTTAACTTCATCATAGATCTACTGATCGAAATAACGCTCTCATCGACTGAATTCTCGGGTATTGATCTCCTACCAGGAGGTCCACTTATTGACTTAGAATACGCAGATGACATAGTCCTGTTTGGTGAAGACGCTGATGAAATGCAGAGTCTTTTGGTAGCACTGAGCAACAATGCCAGAATGTTTGGGATGCGCTTCTCTCCCTCCAAATGCAAGTTGTTGCTTCAGGACTGGTCTGCGTCAACACCTGAACTAAGGATAGGGGGTGAAGTAGTCGAACGCGTTGACAACTTCACTTATCTTGGAAGTCTGATCAGCCCTAATGGGTTGGTGTCTGACGAAATCTCAGCACGGATTCGAAAAGCTCGTTTGGCCTTTGCCAACTTACGTCATCTATGGCGAATGCGAGATATCCATCTATCAATTAAGGGACGAGTATACTGCGCGGCAGTTCGTTCCGTTCTACTATACGGCTGCGAAACATGGCCTTTAAGAGTAGAAGATACTCGTAAGTTACTAGTATTTGACAACAGGTACCTTAGAAATATTGCGGGTATCTGCTGGGATCACCGGGTAAGTAATAGTGAGGTTAGACGTAGGGTACTAGGGAATGATGGTAAATCAGTTGATGAAGTTGTGAATCTTCATCGACTGAGATGGTTAGGCCACGTGCTGCGTATGCCTGAACACCGATTACCACGACGCGCAATGCTAACCGGTGTTAGGGATTAAAATCGCTTCATATCTTTCTTTCTACGAACTAATTCTTTCTTCCTGTACTATCTCCTTATACACAATCTTTCTTCTATATATTACCACCACTGAATTAACTACTTCTATGAATCCGGTGTTCATCTTGTTGTGCTAATGCGGTATGGCAACTTGGACCGATGCATATACGTGCCTGATCCTGCGTTGCAGCTGACTGACTGACTCTTACAGTTTGATTCCACTTCTATTTTTTCCAAATTATTCACAGTATGGCGACAACTATTTTTGTCGTACTACTACGTCGATAGCTGATGCTTACATATGCTGTCCAAATATAACAAAGATATTGAAGGAAATGTCAAAAGTGTGCACAGTTATCAAAATTACCCGTCAAAACAGAACCAAAACTGTCCACGGGAATATCAGAATTTTCGACTCACCTTCATGTATATTTCCCTGAACTAATCTAAGAAAATAAGTTTCATGTTGTTCGTGATTCATTTTCAAATTACCCTCAAGTTTTCTTTTAATGGAAACGATTTTCACGTACATTATGGAGTAATGTCTTGAAATCATAATCGATTAATGCCCTGAAGAAGTTCAGGCACCTTTGTTAGATGAAACGTTGAAATTGTTTAAATTTCAATCGCTGAAATGACTTCTGTATACTCGGTGCCCAATTTTTGTCAAACTATTCGTTCTAATATTGACGAATATTCGTATAAATCATGATCAATTGTTTTGGAATACCACATATTTCAATAAAACAGTTTATTTTCAACCAGTTTGAAGCATCCCTATGAAAAATCAATATTAAACTTATTAGGGCTTCACCATTCCATCTCCAGTTATGTTGTTGATACTGACACGAATGAGAAGAATGAACATTTATGTAGTGATAAAAGTTTATTTAAACAGAATTTACCTATTCATACGTAAAACAAGAAGGTTCATTTAACAGCATCACTAGATTAACAGATTATCTTACAGTACTTGGTGTATATTGATTAATCAATCTAATCTAAATAAACTAACTGATCAATCAACAACATATTGTATAACACTATTCTACTAATGTCTTATAAATAAAAATGCTAAATTCAATAAATATAATTCATTTAGATTGTAAATCGATCGATATTACACCACCTGAAAACCTGAAAGTACTGGACAGCCATTTCGTCCTAGTATAGATCCATGATCCCGCACGCAGGACTCGAACCCAGGACCCTTGGCATCGCGCGCTCAGTCCTAACCTCTAGTTTATTTATTTATTATTTATTTAAACACATAAACATTGGTACAAGGAGGTACCAAATAGATATGCGCCACATAAATCATTCGATTTGTCTGAGAGTTAGGATACTACTGCCCGGGTGCCTAAACCGAAGCAGGTGGTTATCCTAGGGGACCACACCCGCTGCCTTCAACCTGTGGTTCTGATCCATAAGGAAGTGGAGCAACGTAAATAGATGCAGTCCCGTGGTAGTCGGTCACCAACGATTGGTTCATACGCCATTTGTTCCTTCATGATACTGGAGCTCATGTGTACGATTGGTTTAGAATGAGTGTTTTCCAACTTCCCTAGATGAACTCTCCGTGTCCACTGACTGAGTTAGAGCGCCGGACATTGGCTTTTTGTCCTGTCGATTTCGTAAACAACACCCCTGTTGCGATAAGGCAGTGAATAGGAGTTCCCTGTCAGTGGTTGTATGCACGTGGCCATGTGAGAGCATTTCGAAGGGGGAGAGTTGACTCTCCCTACTCTCGGCCCTATCAAAACATTTGATTACCTTAACCCATAAATCATTTAGCCAGTATTAGTATGTGATTAATTTATAATCTCAAATCAAAAATTAACAATTCGGCGAAACTCTAATTTAGGGACGACCTTTGAACGAATTTTGAGTGACCTTGAGAATATTAGCCAATCAGAAGACAGCCAGTATAACGTAGAAATATATTAGAAGAAACTAATGGATTACAGTGAATATACTTATTTCACGTGATTTAAAAACTTATCAAGGTTTGCTAAAGTTTCAGATGTTTTGAAATCATATTGCATACGGTATAAAAAGTCATAAATTCCAAGTACCTGTCGAGCATATTCACGGAAATGCTACTTACACAATCCTACTTTATACTACGTCCCCTGTTGTATTTTCGCTTTCTCACTGCCGTTCCATCTGTCTGCACGATACATCCTACTCCTCCGAATGATTGGTGTATACGTGTTATTTTAGTTGCACATATGTCACGGCAGTACTTATACCACTGGACTGCTGAAGTTTCATAAACAACTGCAAATGCCGTATCCAGTGTTACTGGTGTATTTATTACCCAATTTGCAACTATTATCATAATCTGATTCAGTTTCAGTAGCAATCGAGCAAAGAAAGTCCTCGTTTTAGCAGACTTTCTCCTCCAACATGAAGGACAACGCAATATAATCTCACCACGGTGGTTTGTACACTTTACTGCGGTCATATGATAAACGCAGTCTCACGTACAAGAACTTTTTAGTAATCCCATCCCTTGTAGCCTCTCAATAATCACCTCTTCTCTAAAATCCGCTGTAAACCGATCATATGTGAGCATCAGGTGTTAAACTTGGCTCCGTGACCTTGAAACGGCTCACACGCTTCTGATTGGCTCGTCCCTAAATTAGAGTCTCGCCAACAATTCTCTATAACTTCATAATGATTTATTATATTTATTCTTCTATCCATTTTAATTGTTTACTTTGTTACATTTTTGTTTGTTTTGTTTTTGTTTTTTTTTTAATTTTCAGTCATTAAAATCTTTAATTAATGAATATCATTCTACAATATCATATTTATTGAATCAATTGAATCCTATTCATAAAACTCTTACGAATCTATTACATAATATACTTATTCTACCAGAGAATATTCTTCATTTATTATTAATTGATTTACATGATGATGATAATAATAATAATAAAATAAATAAAGATATTAATAATGATACTACTATAACAACTAAATGGAATACTTATATTGAAAATTGGTTTATTATATCAAAACAATTAAAATTAAATTCATCCATAAAAAATTGGATATTTACATTATTTAATAAAATTGAAAAAGATTATTTAATACAATTAAAAAATAAATTATTCATTTCTATTATTTATCCATCATCAATAAATAAATTATATTTACCTCCAATTTATTTAGCGCCTAATTTAAATGTATTTTTTGTTTTAATTTATAATTGTTTAAATAATTTATCAAAATTATTATTAACTATGAATAATGAATTACATAATAATAATGAAGAATTAATTCAATTAACTGAAATGTTATGTATTATATCAAAGGTAATTAATCAAATGAAATCAAACAATATTGTAAATCAGTTAATTGAACATTTTAAAAAATTAGGTAAGTGTAATATATATATATATATATATATATATATATATATATATATATATATATATATATATATATATATATATAATCTTTTATTAATAAAGAAATAAAAACCATGCATACTCTTCTGATAGATGGTAAATGCAGACTACTTGGTTGAGGTCCATATGACTATCATAACTAATGGTAGGTGACTGTGGGTGACATGGCTGAGAATTGCCCCCCAAATGCCCTGGTACGGCCGAGAGTGGGGAGAGTCCGCTCTCCCACTCCAAATGCTCTCACATGGCCATGCGTATATAGCCTCTGTCAGGGAAGTCCTACTCACTGCCTTCTTGTAGCAACGGTGTTGTCTACGAAAATGACAGGACGAAAAGCGAATGTTCGGCGCTTTAACCGAATCCAAAACCAATGGTGCACATGGGCTCCAGTATCCTGACGGAACAAATGGTGTATGAACCAAATTCTTGGTCACCGGCTACCATGGGACTGCATCTCCTTACGATGCTTCACCTCCTTGTGGGTCAGACGTTCGGGTGGAAGGCTCGGGGTGTGGCCCCCTAAGAAAACCACCTACTTTGGTTTGGGCACCCGGGCAGTATCACAGCCCTCACACAAATTAATTGAGATTTGTGTGGCGCATATGTATTTGGTGCCTCCTTGTACCAATACCTATGTGTTAAAATAAAATAAATAAATGGCTGAGAATTAATCACATTCATTATCTTTCCTTAAATTGTGAGATTAAAATTACTTTATATCTTACTTTCTTCCTGTATTATATCCTTATACACAATCTTTCTTTTATATATTACTACCATTGAAGTCACTACTTCTATGAATTTGGTGTTCATCTTGTTGTGCAAATGAGTGAAGTATAGCAACTTTAACTGATGCATGTATGTGCGTGGTCCTAGGTTGTAACTAATTGACTGACTGAGAGTCTTCTGACTACTGTAAGCAACAATGCAAGTATGTTTGGGATGCAATTCTCCCCACTCTCGAAATGCAAAATGATGCTTTAGGATTGGGTTGCATCGACACCTGAACTAATGATAGGGAGTGAAGTAGTCGAGCGTGTTGACCTTGGGAGTCTGATCAGCTTTTGCGATCTGGTGTGTAACAAAATCTCAGCATGGATAGAGAGTGCTCGGCTAGATTTCGCCAAATAGAGTCATTTATGGCGTAGGCGAGATATTTGTCTACCAAACAAAGGACGGGTTTAGTGCGCAGCAGTTTGTTCCGTTTTACTTTATGGCAGTGGAACATGACCGGTAAAGGTAGAGGATATTTATAGGTTACTAATATTCGATCATAGATGTCTTCAAACCACTGTCCGTATATCCTAGGACCACCGAGTAAGTAATACAGTTGTTAGGAAAAGGGTACTAGGTAAGGATGACAAATCAATTGATGAAGTAGTGAAACTTAACCAGTTGAGATAACTGGGACGCGTGTTACGTATGCCCAACCACCGACTGCACCGACGTGCGATGTTTTATGGTGTAAGAGTAGGTTGGAAGAAAGCTGGGGGCGGCCAGACCAGAACATGACACAAATCCATGAAGTCACTGACAAGTGAACTGAGCTATGTTAGTAGGTATAGACTACCTGGTTGGGATCCACGAGACGATAGCAACTGTTTAGAGACCTTGAATGACATGGCTCAAAATCGTTTGCAATGGCGTAGGTGCATTCACTCTTTGTGTTCTCCTAAATTCTAATCGTCTGAGTTCTTCATGTCTCGTTCTTTTTCTTTCTCTTTCCAAATTTATTTCACAGGATTATACTCCTTGAATAACATCCTCAAACCCTAATATTTCCGATTAATACTTATACTTTCATTACCTCTACCACTATGGGATTTGAATCGACAGTTGTATCTGTGTGCTAATGTGGTATGGCAACTTGAACTGATGTACTTATGAACGTACGAAGTTCTACGTTGTTGCTGACTGACTGACTGAAATAAAAAGCAGGTTTATGCTCAATCAGATAGTTTGGTACAGTCTTAAGTAAGAGATGTGTTACGCAACTAATTTGATTGGGAAGATCGATCGTTTAATATATAGTTAAGATCCAAATTTGTTGAAACATTTATCAATATGTAATAAGTTGTAAATTTTATATTTCCTGATATTGCAAGAGATGGATAATAATCAGACAAGGGTTTCGTGGAGATTGTCGCAATTTAATAATTGAATTCATAAGTCAATTGAAGCTACACCACCATGGAAAATCTGGAAGCACTGGGCGGCCGTTTTATTTTATTATGGAACTCCTCATCAGGGCGCATCCACGATCCTGACTCGCGAGATTCGAACCCAGGACCTATCAGTGTCGCACGCGAACGCTTAACCTCTAGACCACTGAGATGGATAATAAGTAAAAGTGTTTTCGAAACAATTCAATTCACCGTTTGATAATTAGCTACTGATTATTTCTCTTTGTGCCGTTTCACCATGTGACGGTTTGAGTTAATAGAAGTTAATAGAAGTGGTCAAATAATTCTAAGTTTCTTTGCTGTAATCATTGAGATTAACTTAGGCTAAACCAAGAGGACTCGACTCTTGTTACTACCTTGACGTGGTGGTCGGGCTTGCCTATCGTGATGAAGCAACCGAGCTATACTGTCTGAAACAACCGTTCCTCAAGGTCCTACCATGCCAAACAGGTCGGTTGAAGAGCAGTGAGACTAAAAGCAGCAAACCCAATGTCCGAAGGCGAAGTCGTACTGCTGACTTTACGGATATGTGGTGGCAGTAAGGTGTTTACCTCAGACAACCAGCATAACAGCGATGCTGCCTTCCCAAAAGGAGGGGAGGGGTTAGAAAAGGTCGACCCTAAAAATGCACACCTCGCCTTATCCCACGGATATCCGTCCTCGGTGGTAAGGTCTCAATAATTACGGAGTTAACATGAAAAGGTCATGTATGACCGACCTCAACAGTTGTCCCTTGGGCACTGCGGTCACGTTCTCAAGTCACTAAAACCACCTTTAATCCATTTTCCTTTTCAAGTACCTCCAGATGAGCCCTTCTACGGTGTAGGCAACCGGGAAGCGATAACCGCCCTCATACCTGTAACAACACTCAAGACCACAAACTAAGAGGAAAATTTTTGTAGTGTTATAACTTGTGGCCTGAGTGCCCTGTTAATGGGTAAGTAGTAATACCGCCAATTAGGGATCAGTGACGCAAATGTGGCTGTGAATGTGAGAGGCAGTGACTAATAAACAGGGCATAATTCAAGAATGGTAAAACGTATAATAATGGTTCATAGGTTAAAATAAAGCTTATAATAAGAGGAATATGAATATGAATAGTTTAGTTATTTAACAATTATACAATAAAAATATACGTTTAGTATTGGTCCATAAATGGATCCCAGAGTTATCATTCATTATGCTTATCGGGACCTAACATATAGTAACTGACTTGTTTCTCTCTTACGTATGATAATATTTTTCTTGTTGTTTATTTTAGATGAACCATGTATGACACGTTCAAATGCCATTAATTTATCATTAGAAAATTTACGTAGAAATCAAATAGAAACTTGTTTACAATCTGTACGTAAGCAAAATTCATTTACATCTATTGAGCACAAAGAATCATTATCAATGAAAATGTATCAATTATCTTCGAAAATTCGTAAAATTGAAAATTCTATGAATGATGCTATTAAAGAAACTATGGAATATCAATTAAAACAAGTCCCTTAACTCAAGAGAATCTTTATCTATTTTGATTTTCATCACTTCAATAATAGATAATGTAATTCTCTGTTGTTGTTGTTGTTGTTGTTTTTATTATTATTATTATTATTATTATTGTACATACGTTTTATTTTATATCTTTTTTTAAATGTATAAATAGCCTGTACACATGAGTAATTTTTACATCCCTAATGTATTTGTGAATCCTTCATTGTTCGATACTTATATTACTGAATGCTTATAAATTCTCCCCCCCTTGCTATTTTCACCATTCGAACATTTATCCTTGCCAATAAATAGGCCTCTAAATGCCGAGAGTGGGGAGGGTCTTCCCTCTCGAAATGCTCTCACACGTTCATAGCCTCTGCCATAGAAGTCCTACTCTGTTAAGTTCGTTACGCTTGACTGCTACTACTGATTCGTCTTACCCGGAACGGAATGAAGAATCAAGGATTCAGAAACTCGATAGGTTATTCTGGTCTGTTGTCCCCGACTCAGCTAACTCGATCAAGAAGTCTTGGTAAGATGTAGAAAGTGTATTCTACAGACAACCAGAAGATACCAGGTCAATCAGGCACACAAATCAAGCGTATTTATACAAAAGTATATAATTGATATTGCCATGGAAGCTTTTAAACATTTAATCGATAAGTTCGTCAATCGACTATGTACGTGGGTGGTAAGAAATTCCCAAGTGTACATCGGCATACAAGCTCCACAGAGACAAAATTACACAATATGAGTTTTGGGGATTTAACGTCCTCAACATACTCACTGCCTTCTCGTAGCGGAGGTGTTGTTTACGAAATTGAGACGACGGAATGCGAATGTCCGGCGCTTTAACCGGGCCGGTGGACACGGTGAGTCTACCTAGGGGAGTTGGGAAACCCTGATTGTACAACAATGGTGCAGATGAGTTCCAGTATCCTGAAGGAACAAATGGCGTATGAACCAATCGTTGGTGACCGACTACCATGGGAGTGCATTTCCTCACGATGCTCCACTGCTTTGTGTATCAGACCTCTAGTTCAAAGGCTCGGGGTATGGCCCCCCAAGAAAACCACCTGCTTCTGTTTGGGCATCCGCGCAGTATCACAGCCCTTACACAAATTTGATGAGATGACAATTAATAAATAATAAGGTAACTACCTCTAACAGCACACAAGACTATCGGCTAACATCATTATAGTACTGAGCACAAATGTGTATTGGTCCAAGTTTACACATCGCATTATTATTACAGTAACTAAGGAAATTAACAAGCAAGGGAGGGAAGTTAATTTTAACTTTAATGAAAATCTAAAGATAATGAATATACTTTAATGCAAACAATGAGACGAAAGAATGGATAACTAGAAATAACATTTAATCCAAAATCATTAACTGAGATCAATTTTGTACTATGTCATCTAATTCTTTTAATTATTGAATGTCAGATGCCTAATAGTTCATTCTTAACAATCGGAATAACTTGGTCTCCGAATTATACGTTAGATGTGATATTTACTAGATTTAAATAGACCTTGTATTGAAGTCATTGAACATGTTTACTTCAGACTAAGTTACCCTTTAGTAATTAATTCCTATCGTTCTTACGAATATATACTTATTGAAGTGTAGTGTAATTACACCAACTTCTTGTTTGACGTCACAGCATTTCGTCCAAAGTAGGTGGATAGTTTCTTCCCTATAGATCAGAAAAGATAATTTGAAGTCATTAGATTCTCAAAAAATATAACGCATTCACTCTGAAGTTCACGACACTCAGCACATCTTTTCTGGAGAGTATTGAAATACTCATCTGTTTGGGCTCTTATTCACTGTTATTCTTCTGGATCTATAGATAAACTTCTTGATGATTGTAACTTTCCGTGCTTCTGCACTTCCAAGATTACGTTCACCCAGTCAGTAATTTATGGACTCAAATATTCTGTCATCTGACAAGTTGTGTAGAGCACACACGCTGTAAAACCGAAATTTATTTCCATGTCTTGTGCTTCACATTTTTATCGGTACAATATATCGTGCGAAACCAAATCGGATTTTCAAGGTCGTACAGTAGATCAGATAAAATCATAGGCATGCTATAATAAGTAAATCATCACTATTGTATCAATCTAGCTGCTTTTACGCTTAGAAGCAGATAAAGTTTAAAACTAAGTTGTCCTTGTTCTGACTATAGCTTTCACATAGACTCTGGGACCGCGTTTACGGTTCTAGTAGTATATATATAGGGCAAATTAAATCCTTCAGTGGTGGTAAATCAGTTGGTGAGGTTGTAAATCTCCATCGACCGAGATGGTTGGGCCACGTGTTATACATGCCCAACCACCAATTGCCACGGCCTGCAATGCTGACTAGTTTTGAAGACGGATGAGAGAAAATTAGGGGTAGCCAAACCAAAACGTGACATCAATCCCTAAAGCGATTAGCTTGTGGTGTGAGCCATGTTGGTAGATGCAGATTACCTGGTTGGAGTCTGCCTGATTATTGTAATCGGTGGTTGTATACTGTGAGTGACATGGTTGAGAATCAGTCACAATGGAGTAAGTGTATGAACTCTTTGTATTCCCTTAAACCGTGAGATTGAAGTAACTGCTTCTATGAATTTAGTGCTCATCTTGTGCTAATTAGGTGTGGCAACTTAAACCGATGCATCTATGTGTCTGGTCCTACGATGTAGATGAATGACTGACTGGAAACATAACAAGGGAAAATATCGAATTAAGACTATATGGTGGTAATGGTATAATACTTCAGCAAGGTACCTTCATTCGTTACTAATTACTAGTGATGAAACTCTTATATCCCGACGAGAATTATGAATAGTAACTTTTGAGAACTATTTATGAACCAATACGATACATACATTTTTACCATATAATTAGTAAGTAGCTAAACTAAGCATATTCATGTTATTCTTATTGAAAAATTTATCTTGACTTATAGATTATTATTATACAGTTTACCGTTCTTGAGTTATGCCCAGTTTATTAATTACAGTCTCTCATATTCTCAGTCATTTTTGGCTAGGTCTTGTACAAATGTTGTTTTCTATTTTGTGGTGCGATGTGGTCTGTTTCGTTTGTATGTAAACCCAATACGTTTAAAATACATTATTCATATCGCAGAGGATGAGATTGGTGTTCTGGACTCAACAGGCAGAAAGAAGGACCGATAAACACTTTCGACTGCTCGTACGGTTTTGCGTGTCATTGGTCCGGTCGATAAACCAGTTCTCTAATTGGCGTTATCATTAGTTATATATCAATAGGGCACAAGGACACAAGTTGTAAGAGAAAGTAAATGAGTAGAAGCATGAGCTGCTAATTATTTACAGCTGGTATAGTGTTTAGTAGCCCGAAGGTCTGATTCTAGACAGATCGTTTACTGCTTGTTATCGAAATATACATTTTGTCATCCTCTCATATAATTATCGACTTGAATCACGTTGGTGAATAACGGAATTAAATAAGTCAAATACCAGAGTGGATTCCGAATATGTATATTTCATACGGTTATTAATCGGAAAGTGAAGCAAAACAAAACGATGCTCGATGGAGAAGGCGAGTGAAATAAAAAGGCTTCGACAGAGCAGAAGACAGCTGATAGCTTTATCTAAACTTGGTAACGGTTTATCAATAAGCAAAACCTGAGCCAAGAGCAAAACAATTTGGAAACTGTTGCGTTTAAACAAATGCACAAAACTGTAGATAACTGCTACAGTGATTGAGATAAAGTAGTTATAATGATAAATATAATAAACGTCATAAGTATATGTAAATATTTCAGAATATTACATGACATTCATGCGTTACAACATAAGTTGAAACGTTGCTGGGAATACAACTATTTACTGAATGTACATAAGTAGTATAAAACAATATGCAAAATAGTGGAAGAGAAGCGAGTAAGAATAATGTTAAACCAACTTATAAGTATCAATTTCATTCTTTAAGCATAAGCGTGATTCAAAAAATAAAAAAATGTATGGTGTGATTTCCAGCGATACTAACTCATAACTTGCAAAATTTCAGACGTAATTGTTAGGAAACCGTAAACTTAATTTCGTGCTTCTAATTAAATACCTATTAGATTTGCCTCAGAATATCAATTGATTGATGTTTTATTAGAAATGTGAAATGAAATCATTGACACAAAGTAGATAGGTGTGGCTTTTAAGGATTAAATATTAAAGTATAACCTTACTTAGTTCAACACTTTTTATGGAGTTTTATTCTCTGAGCTGGATGATTTGGTCGTGGAACTTTTATCGTTCTTCTGAACATCATCAGCATAAGCTTCAGGTAGAAGTGAAGTGTTTGAATTTCTCCACATGTCGTTCACAGCTTATCCTGTAGACCTCGATGTTGATTTAATGTCAGCAAGAACCAATTCGATTCTTTATTACTTTGTTCCATTTTGCATATTATTTTATATTACTTGCTAATATTCAGTAATGCATTTTATTCTAAATCGTTTCTGAACACAACTTAGGACATTAATCAACATATACTCATTAGTGACTGGCTTCAAGATGTATATTTTGGAGTTCTAGTGCTAAGCACTGACCAGTAGAGTTCAACCGGGTCTGTTATGAGATAGTAACTCACTGAAGACGTTTCTTAGTAGTTCATTTACATTTCATTGTTTCGCGAAACCATATTCATCTCAATGCAAAAACACTCAAACTTTATTCACTGAATTGTATCGATGCTATTAAATCTCGAATAGTTGAACTAGATCGCAACATATCTTTAAGAAGTTATGCATTATTTGAAGTGTCGTTAGATGAATGTGAACGATTTTATGAATGAGTTCTGAGGGAAAACGTTTCACAACTATACTCTATCCCTTATTCAAGTCTTCTAATATTACCAAGTAGATTCATGATTAGATTACTTTTACATCCTATTTATCCTAATCTTTATTATGTTGGACTAACTAATATCTAAGTATGCATTAGATTATGAGAGTTTTCAGCTATATATTTTGAGTAAGAATGA